TAGGGTTATAAATTATAATGTTGAAATCATTTTGATAACAAGTTAAGTTACAACTTAATGACTTATACAAGAGTTTTTTCCTAAGCTTTTTGCATCAAGTTAGATTTAAATTATTTGTTACAATGGGCTTAATGGGCCGGAGTCATTAAATATTCGGTGATATAAAAATGTTGTTTTGCCAGAAAATAATGCGTTTGGAAGCTGCATAGAAAATTCAGAGCGAGACCAAACAAGCCTCCACCTACAAACTTCCATTTCTAAAACGTGATTTTTTAGTTCCAAGTTCCAACCACCACTTCTTCTCTCACGAAATTAATAAACAACTTGCTTACTTTTATATTTACCTACATATATCAGTATAATCTAATCTTAACTTACTAAACGAGATTTCTTACTCATACCAAATTTTATATACAAATTGCAACAGTTAGAATAGAATTCTATTTTTACCAACACAAGACAAAATTCATATAAGCCTTAAATATTTATTATTCAATATAATTATTTGATTGTCGAATAGTTTTGCAATGTTGCTAAAAATTGCTATGTTGGTCTACATTAGAGAACAAAGCATTCATTCAGTGTTTTGTCTGATCATAGCATTTACCTAAGCAAAAAAAAAAAATCCATATTTCTTTAAACTTTTGAAAATCAGTTCGGGTTTTGGCAAATAATTCATCATGGTTATACAAAAATACAAAAAAAAATTGGTTTGCTTATAGTTTAAATTCAAATGATTCGTCGTATTATCGAGCCATCATCACCTGCCTAAAATATTCTCATTATAAAATCCTTTTCTCACTCTCTCGATAATCACAATCCATCTCTTCATCTTCTTCAACAAACTCTATAACAGTTTCCCACTTTTACCCTCTTAAATCCATCGCTCAAGCTCACCTCCAATGGAATCGAACACGACCCAGAACGGATCCGAAGTCGAACTCTCAGAATTCGAAAAAACCCAGAAAAAGTACCACGATTTCATCGCTTCCCTTCCAAAGACCAAAGGCTGGAGACCAGACGAGATCTTAACCCAACACAACGGACACTGGTGGCAAGAATGTCTCCTCGAAGGTCTTCTTCACGCTAATGACCATTTCCAAGCACGACCAACCGATTTCCTTGTCTGTAGCTACCCGAAAACCGGAACCACATGGCTCAAAGCCTTAACTTACGCAATCGTGAACCGTTCTCGATTCGACGACGCAACGAACCCACTCCTCAAACGAAACCCACACGAGTTTGTCCCTTACGTCGAGATCGACTTCGCGTTTTACCCAACCGTTGATGTCCTTCAAGACGCAAAGAACCCGCTTTTCTCTACCCATATCCCAAACGGGTCATTACCCGATTCCATTGTGAATTCCGGTTGCAAGATGGTTTATATATGGAGAGACCCGAAAGATACTTTCATCTCTATGTGGACTTTCTTACACAAGGAGAAGTCTCAAGAAGGTCAATTAGCGACTCTTGAAGAGTGTTTCGATATGTTTTGTAAAGGTTTATCTGTGTATGGTCCTTATTTGGATCATGTTTTGGGTTATTGGAAAGCTTACCAAGAGAATCAAGATCGGATTTTGTTCCTTAGGTACGAGACTATGAGAGCTAATCCTTTGCCGTTTGTGAAGAGATTAGCTGAGTTCATGGGTTATGGATTTACTGATGATGAAGTGGAGAAAGGTGTAGCTGAGAAAGTGGTGAATCTTTGTAGTTTCGAGACGTTGAAGAATCTTGAAGCTAATAAAGGTGATAAAGAAAGAGAGGATCGTCCTGCGGTTTATGCGAATAGCGCGTATTTTAGGAAAGGAAAAGTCGGAGATTGGGCGAATTATCTGACGCCGGAGATGGCTGCTCGTATCGATGGTTTAGTCGAGGAGAAATTCAAAGATACTGGATTGCTTGAACATGATAAGTGAGATGAGTTTTCTTTGATATTTGGATGAGTCCTTTTTGTTAGTTGGTTCGAAACAGAGGATGCTCTGTTTTGCTTTGTTTGTCATTATTGTCTTTAATTTGTATCATCTTATTTATGATTGCTCGAGGGTCAGTTAGCAACTCTTGAGATCTTTCATCTCTATGTGGGTTTATCATTGCTTCTATTACAAAGATCTTTCAATATTGTCTTCAATTTCCATAGTTTGCAAAAGGAAAAATCAGCCAAAAAAATAGATGTCTCCTCTGTAAGCAGTAGTATATTCAACCATAACTAGTTGAATCTTAAGAAACAGAAGACACAAGAGAGAATATTTACCAAAAGTATGAGAAACTCATGAGTTAACCTCACCTATGGGTGACTTGGACTGATGTTGTATGGTTTCAAGAACATATCCCACGGGCTTCTTTCATTCTTTGGCTAGCGATTCAGAGACGGTTGCCAACTAGGGACGTATTACTCCGTTGGGGTATGATGAATGTTGCACATCAATGCTCTCTTTGTTTGACAGGCATAGTCATCTCTTCTTTGACAGAGATTTCTTTAAGGATATTTGGCTTTGTTTGGCTAGAAGAGTATCCCTTGTAGCTCCACCAACTCTCTCTGCGTTGGTTGATTATCTCTCTCAGCCACAACGCAACATCCCTGGCATGACAAGCATTCTCTTGAAGCTGTTGTTACATATCACTGTTTACACTATATGGCATGCTAGGATCTTCACATCTAATTATACGACTCCAATTGTCCTCAAAATATTGGTTGATCGAACAATGCAAGACCGTCTACTATCTTTCTCTTCACGAGATATATATATATATAATTATAATCCATGATTTCCGCTGTAGCGCATTGATTAAAACAATGTATCTTGTGGCAAAAATTTGTCTTCACGACAAACGACCTCCGGGTTCGAATCCCGACTTTGCTCTTTGTGACACTACAAACAGCATACATGTTTTTTTCTTTAAACGGCACACAAGTCTACTTACTAGCTGCTTCGAAACGCAGCATATCACGTCCCAGTTTCGCTGCGTCTCCGTCTTCGTGGTGAGTTTTGATCCAACTTCACTCTAATAGTGATTATTGGATCTGATGCAAAACTTTGTCTGTTAGTGGTCCTGAATTGGTTCGAATGTAGCAGAATTTTATACTCTTCTTTGATATGTTTCTATGCTTAATTCTTTGATCAACTGGAGTGCCTAACCTTGCGACGGTGGAAAGTGTTGATGGTGAGAAGTTAAATAACTAAATATTCTGTGTGTATATTGAAAGAGAAATATCTTCAATATCTATGAACTCAGTCAATATCTTCACACAGAGAATATTTACCAAAATATAATGCCATAAAACAGAACAAGATCCATGTTTGCTAATTCTCTTAAACCCTTTATGGCGGCAAAACGTTTCCATATCTATATATAATAGCAAACCTAAAAAAATGATTATTTTTTTGTTGTGTCTTCTAGGAAAACCGTCTTGTATTTATAGGCTTATGCCAGGGTCAAGTTTTTTTTAAAAAATCGTATTATGGTTATTTTGAAGGGCTGCATCTTCTCGAAAAAACCGCTTTATGGTTATTTGCAAGAGTTGCATATTTTCGTTAAAACCGTTTTGTTAAGAGTTGCGTCTTTTCATTGTAACCGTTTTGTCAAGAATTGTGTTTTTCATTATAACTATTTTGTCAAAAATTACGACTTTTCAAAAATAACCGTTAAGTAGTTATTTTTCGAAATAACCGCTTTTCGCTAAAAGTTACGTTTTTTCAGAAAAATCGTTTGTCCTATATATATGTTTTAGTTTTTCTGTTTTTTTCAAAAAACCGCATTATGATTATTTCATTATAGTTAGTTTAAAGAGTTGCATCTTCTCGAAAAAACCGTTTTATGGTTATATGCAAGAGTTGCATCTTTTCGTTAAAACCACTTTTGTCAAGAGCTTAAATCTTTTAAAGATGATTATGAGTTTATGTTCGCATGTGTTTCAAATAAATAAATTATATTTTTGGATATGTTAGCAAAATGTTTTTTTTTTTAAGTGTAGTTGGATGTTCTTTACCCCCGCGATTTTTGCGGGGGGTTCGAGTCCTAGTATTTAAAATGGTAATCTATTTAGCAAAAACAATATATTCAATTGTAATCTATGATTAACAAAAAATCCGCCGTAGCGCATTGATTAAAAACAATGTATCTTGTGGCAAAAATTTGTTTTAACGACAAAGACCTCTGAGTTCGAATCCCGGCAGCGGAAATTCTTTTTGCCATAATTTTATTTCTCTTTTTAAGGAAAAAAATTAACAGCGACACACTTTGTTCTCTGCTACACTACAAACAACAATTACACTTTGTTCTCTGCCATAAATTTTCCTCTAAACGGCACGCAAGTCTACTAGCTGCATTGAAACGCAACGTATAGCTCTGTTTTGTTCTGTTTGATTCTGTTTGTCAATGTTGTCTTGAGTCTATATCATCTTATTTATGACAAAAGAAAGATCTTTGGTTTTATGAGTGTTTGAGTTAATACTTGACCCTAAAACTTGAGATTCGATTTAATAATCACAAAGGAAAGAGATCGAACATAAATGGCACTACAAAGCCAATTCCTTTTATACAAAAATACACTTGGGTGATGGAACAGAAGCAAGACTTATTCTTCTTCCAATATATTAACTTATTACATTATAGAACCAAACTAACTTATTACATTAAGGAGCAAACTTATACTGTAAACAAAGCATATAAAGATCAATAATTTCTCAGAACAAAAAATCCGTTGTAGCGCATTGAATATGCAATCAATGATTTCTTCTGGCAAGAATTTGTCACTACGACAACGACCTCCGGGTTCGAATCCCGGCAGCGTATTCTGATTCCATCTTCTCTTTTCCACAAAACTGTGTCCAGAAAGTGAATAGCATTCGATGAACGATCTCAAAGACGAAGAGAACCCCAGAACACGTGTCGGGATCGATTATGGCTGCGGCGGCAGCAAGATCGATGTCTCGACGGCTAAACGAGTCTGCGGAGAAAGCGCGTCGTTTCTCTTATTCGCCTTCGTAGGTAGTTTTGGAGAGAATTATGTGCATTGAGAAGTTGCCTCAGGTTCTCTGGTTTGTTCTACTTTCTACGAATTCTTGGAAAAATTGAAACTTTTGGTACTATTGGATTGCAAGAGTATAAATTTTTCTTATATTGTTATGTGATTTGAAATTGCAGCTTCGAGGAGTTATAGAGGACTGGCATTTCACTGGGAATTGGCAGAGCCATAAAATGATTAGTGAAGCCTTTTCAAAGTTTTCATCTTTACTTCGTTGTTTGATTCGAATTGGTTTGAGTGGGTGGGTCTCTTAATCTCTTATAGTGAATCTGATGCAAAGCTTTGCCTTTGAGTGGTCTTGAATTGGTTTGAATATGAGCCACTTTGTCTCTAAATCTCTTGTAGTCCCTCTGTTGAGTATGATACTTAACCGCCAAACTTTATATGTTTTTGGTTCTATTCTTAATTCGTTTGATCAGCTGGAGTGCCTAACCTTGTGTGATGGTGGAAAGTTTATATTGAAAGAGATGGTTTTCTCGAGGGCAGCGTTTGTTCGGAGTTCCTATCTTGCCTGTGTTGATACCGAGAAATCTTCGTTTGCTTTCCTCCAAGCGATGAGGTTGAAAACGTTCATCTCAAATGCTTGTGGTTCAAACTTTACTAAGATAATGAGTAGGTTTGAGAAGTTGTGGTATTTGTTAGAACAGAGATAGGCTTCAAGACAAGTTTTCAAAAGCTCCGCTAATGTTCTGTGTAAATCGGAGGAGAAGAACGAGTCAGAAAGACATCTTCGTCGAGGAAAACAATCTTAAATCTTCTCTAGCTGGGTATAGAAACTAGGATTGTTCAGCAAAGACAAGTAATTAGAGTTTTCTTGAGCCTTTGCATTTGTTCTCATTTAACCAGTTTGATGTGAATTCAACTACACTCTGTCCAAATCAAGCAAAGATGAATGATGATAAATAATGGCACTACAAAGCCAATTCTTTTCATAGAAACAATACATTTTGGATGATAAAACACTTCCAACAGATAACTTATGACATCAAACTTCTGCTGGAAACAAAGCATACATGGATCAGTCATTTTTCGGAACAAGAACCGGTCATTTACAATGCTCAAGCAAACCGGTAGCCTTGAATTTCTCTTCCATTATCCCATCGATACGAGCTGCCATCTCCGGAGTCAGATAATTCGACCAATCTCCAACCTTCCCTTTCCTGAAATACGCGCTATTCGCAAAAACAGCAGCACGGTCCTCTCTCTCTTTCTCACCTTTGTTAGCTTCAAGATTCTTCAACGTCTCGAAGCTACAAAGATTCACTACTTTCTCAACAATCCCTTTCTTCTCTTCCTCCTCTGTGAATCCATAACCCATAAACTCAGCTAGTTTCTTCACATAAGGCAAAGGATCAGCTCTCATCGTCTCGTACTTGAGGAACAAAATCCGATCTGGACTTTCTTGGTAAGCTTTCCAATAATTCAAAACATGATCAAGATAAGGACCGTACGCAATTAGACCTCGACAAAACATATCAAAAGACTCTTCAAGATTGCTGATTGGTCCAAGTTCCGACCTTTCCTTGTGGAGGAAGGTCCACATGGATATGAAAGAATCCTTGGGGTCTCTCCAAATGTAAACCATCTTACAACCCGATTTCACGACGGAATCGGGTAATAACTCAAATGGGATATGAGTGGAAAACAGAGTGTTTCCTTTGTCGTTGAGAACATCAACTTCAGGGAAGAAAGGGAAATCTATCTCAATGTAAGGAACAAACTCGTGAGGGTTACGTTTTAAGAGAGGGTTCGAGGAATCGTCGAAGCGTGATCGATTTGCGATGGCGAAAGTTAGGGCTTTGAGCCAAGTGGTACCTGTTTTTGGATAGCTACAAACTAGGAAGTCGTTAGGACGCGCTTGGAAGAACTCTTGCGCGTGAAGACAACCTTCGAGTAGAGGTTGTATCCACCAGTAACCACCGTATTCGATCAAGGGCTCTTTCGGTCTCCAGCCTTTCTCGTGAGGGAACGTGGAGATTAGAGCTTGGTACCGTTCTTGATTCTTCTCGAACTCTGCTGACTCTGTCTCGGTCTCGTCGTGGCTCGGTACGGTCGTCTCGGTTAGGGTTTTGGATTCCATTGGAGATAGCGTGGTGGATCGTTTGAGATTTGTGTGTTTGTGGGAGATAAGTGATGCTCTGTGTTCCGACAAAGATCGGATTGGGTTTTGTAGTGAAGCTACTTTTTTTAGCAACGTGTTAATATGTGATTCGCAGGTTGTTGGTTTGGTGCGCACATGCATAAAATAAATAAAGGCATTTCTCCGTTATTGGAAAAATATGGTGATTTTTTATGATCTACAATATGTAATGGTTGAGAATCAACATGACTAATCTTGCAATCTTGAATAGGAGTGGTTCCAGTTCAAGTATCTGTCCCAGTAAGGTTTATTATACTTACCAATTTCAAGATTTAGCCATAGTTTTATGGTCCCATTGTAGTGAATCACTGCCGCGCTCTTCCACACACAACGACTTGAAATTTTACCTAAACTAAACCCGAAAAACAAAACATGAAATGGTTAACATCCAAAACTGAAACAGCTTCAAATTGTCAAACCTACTAGGGGATGACTACTGAGAATATAACAAGGGTTAGAGAAATCATACCAAACATAACAAACAAAATAGGGGTGGTACTCTGCCCCCGGGGCGGTGGGTGGTACTCTGCCATTGTTGAGGCTCTCCGCCTTGACGAGGTGTTTCCTTGATTCTCTCTTCAGGTTAAGTCTTCAGTTTGTAGGTTTTCTCCGGCTTCATTCAATGATATGATTCTTGGAGCGGTTCAAAGTCAGAATAGGGGACGGCTATGTTTAAAGCGATGAAGGTGATTCGATATTGAATAGAGGCGGCTGATCTAGCTCATTAACTTTTCACTTCCGTGGGAGATGGTTCATGTAGCATGCACAAGCTCGGAAATGGCGGCCGGGGGCGGCTTCTCTGGCTGCTCAAAGAATCTCCCGTGCCGCGTGGTTGTGGAGTGGTCTAGTGAAATAGA